AAGGAGGATGTTAAAAAATGGCCAATTTTGGCATACGGCCGGAACGAAAAATTTTTTTACAGCGTGATTCTACGCATCCTAAGGAACAAAAAATGTAATTGTCATTTTTCCCGAAAATGATGGGAAAGTTATGAAAAATACGGTTCAAGGTAAGAGTATGACCATACTTATAACTTACATAGGTATTCCGTCTCGTTTTCTTCGGATGATGGTCTCTTCGTAAATTAACCACTTAGAAACTCATATTGAGTATTATTTGCAAAGATTGTTGTACATTAGTGTTTAATAAAAACCAAAAATAATAAAAAATAATTAAATACAAATTAATCGAAACAAGGAATTCTTTGATGACACGATGAAACTGTAGCTGTGTAGCTCGCAGAGACACGCTTCTCGTTCGATTTTTCTCCCAAGCTGAGCTATTCGTTGTGTACTTGAATTCGGTGCACTAGCTTCTTGTATGCAGCGGCACTTAATTCACACGAACGAATATATACAAGGCTATAATCGCGCAGTATAAGCGACGTTCGTCTAGGCACTCGTTCGACAGCCTCGTAAACACCGACTGAGGACGAGTCGTCCTGCCCGATTTCTGATTGCTGTACGCTCGCAACTGTTCTGGGAAAAATTCTAGGACTTAACTTCTTAGAACTCGTGATATTTCTTGCGAGCCAAACATAAGAAACGCGAGCCTGGGTCGCTGTACAACCATCAAGCCAAAGATAAAGCTAGCTGTCCTTTTCAGAGTAAAACTATCGCGAGTTGCTCTCGAGAGTATCTCTCGCGAGTGGACACTGCGTCTGAGAGTGACTGTCTGAGAGCATCGCTCAACTCTCTGAGAGTTACGACTCGAATAAACAGTTGCTTTACAAACACAAAGCAGGTTCGTATTCTTGACAGAACTCTCGTGCGAGTAAAAAAAGTCAGGAAAAAAAATTATTGGAGAAATTAAATCACCGGATACACAGTTAAGAAATGCAAATTCTGTTAGAGTCTTACTTTTTTATTGTATCCTTGTCCTGGCGATTATTTTATTATATTTACGATAGTTTATTATAACTTCCATCACTTCGAGAATAAATAATTATTGGTTTCTGATTGCTTAGAATATAAGCATTGTGTCATCAAAGAATTCTTTGTTTCGATAAATTTGTCATTAATTATTTTTCATTATTTTTGGTTTTTATTAAACACTAATGTACAACAATCTTTGTAAATTATACTCAATATGAGTTTCTAAGTGGTTAATTTACTAACAGACCATCATCCGAAGAAAACGAGACGGAATACCTATGAATGTTATAAGTATGGTCATACTCTTATCTTGAACCGCATTTTTCATAACTTTCCCATCATTTCCGGGAAAAACGACAATTACATTTTTTGTTCCTTAGGATACGTATAATCATGCTGTAAAAAAATTTTTCGTTCGGCCGTATGCCAAAATTGGCCTTTTCTTAACATCCTCCTTTCGCATTTCAAAGTACGCCTTGCGCTAAGAAATCACAAAAAATTCAAACTTTCTAACAATATATATATAATATTTTTGTACACTTTATACTTTTATACATTTTGTTGCAGTGTATAGTACATAAATATGTATATACCTTTCGTAATGTGCGAAAAGTCTGCATACCCTTCGACAAATTTTACAATTGGTAAATAACTGTAGAATTTTCCTGTCATACAGAATAATCTTCCTAAATAGCATACTCCGTGCTGTATGAAAAAATTAGAATTTCTCAAGTCCTATTTATATTATTTTTCTCATCAAAATAAAACTTTTGCTTTTGGAAAGTTTCATGGCAAATTCTATATTGATGTTACTGGTCGATCTTATCAAAATATACTAAGAGTGCCAAGGGTTAAAGTATTATTATTATAGACTACACCATTTTTTTAATGTAATTCTCATGTGATACTTCGTTTTCCAAAAAAAAAAATGCAATAAAATTTACAAATCAAATTTTAACAAAAAAACACCGTATGAGAAGCTTATTTTACATTAACATGTTTACATTTAAACAATCTTCTCAAACACATTTGCCAGATGTTTCTCTCTCTCTCTTTACCAAAAATTTCACTTGTTTTCGAGCTATTTTTTTTTTCCAAACTTTCCGAACAAATGGAGCATCACCGCAATAAACGATTTAGTCGAATTTTTTCGAGCACTCTGATGGAGGACGAACAGAGAGAGTGAGAGAGAGAACAGGAAGCACACAATCGTGGAAATCGCGAGGGAGCTTCGCGTTGTTGTTGGCCGCTTTCGATCAGTCGAGCCGCTGGCAATTAAATCGGCCGAGCGGATTGTAACCCGATAGAGAAATTGAATTTTCGGCGAAACCAATAAAAGTGTCGTCGCCTGCTAATCGGTCCGCGTCCGTTTCCGCTGCGCTGCCTGGTTAAAGAGCGATTTAGCCGCGATTGAAGCACGATTAACGATACCCCCTCTGATATTACGGTGACAGGTAAACCTGGATAGCGCGGTCGATTAATCGCGTGGAAAATCGATTTCCATTAACTAGCGATGCTCTTCTAATATTGTCATGACCGTAGAACAAAAAATTTGTTAAAGAAAATGAAGGATATTTTTGATCGTTATAAATTGTCTTTATACAAATTTTAAATCGTGGATACATTGGTAAAGCACACTAAAAAAATGTGCAAAAATATGAGATTCATTTGCACCTTTCTTTCTCTTAGAGATTCTGATTTTTATGCACGCGGAATTAAAACTATTGTAATACGTTGGCAGAAATGTATAGGACATTATAGAAGTAATTTTTAATAAACATGTTTCATTTCAGTGGAATCGTATTTCTTCAAAATGAAAAGCTTAAAAATACAAAAATTTTAAGGATGATCTAATAATAATGGTTAAATGATTTCTTTCTGCAAAAACATTGGGCTAATTTATGTAGTTATTTCGTTATGATCTGGAATAATTGGTACATCTTTAAGAATAATTATTCGTATAGAATCAAAAACTCTTGGAATATGAATTAATAATGATCAAATTTATACCTAGTTCTATTGTTGCAGCTCATGCTTTTGTAATAACTTTTCTTCATAGTTATACCATTGATAACTGGAAAGTTTGGAAATTAATTAATTCTTTAATAATAGGTGCACGTGCACTTGGAACAATAAATCATGAAGTAAAAAATAAAAGATTTTTGTCTTTTATTCTAGATCTATGTCATGTAAAATACTTTAAGGGACTTAACTTTAAATTCGATTTTTGAAAAGCCATACATATTAATTTTTAGTATGTTTTACCAACAAGTTCACGAAATATTGCACTGATATTTTTATACTTTTACCATTTTCACGTGAATCATACTTTAATAATAATTGAAATTTGAAGCTTCTCTATTTTTCTCACAATTAACTACGAAGCGATCCGCCTAAAACAGGCCACCTAATTATCTCTACCACTTTTAATAACAGAAAAATATTTCACGCGTAAATTGAATATGTTGCAAGAAACATTTTTGTTACAAGACAATTTTTTTCCAAATTTACAAAGTCACCAATGTTTTTCAATATTAAAAAAGTTTTCAAATTTCCTCTGAAATGATAAACAATGCAATTCGTTATCAGCAAAAGATTTCAAATGATTTATTTGTTTAAGTACGTCAATGTTAAATCTTCTATCAATTTTTATGTTAATTTCGGATTAATATTACAATTTACTTTATCAAATGAAATTTCACTTTAACCTGAACATTTTAACATTGTCTCCTGAAGAAACTTGCTTCGGTTAAAATGAAAAATTCCATACTTATAACTGACACTATAGATGCAGATTATTAATACTAACAGCTAGAATATTTTCAAAGGAACAAAGAATAAAATTGCAAGCTCCTGAATCTTGACTAAAATGATCAATTCCAGACTACTAGGTTTTAATATGTTTTCATATTCGTCCTGTGAACAGAATGTAACGAAATAAAATTATAATTTTGAAGTTAATAAAAACGAACGAACTGCTTTACACGGTCGCAAAAGTGATTGCAGCGTAATTTCCCATTACCAAGGGTAGAAGTTAAAGGGACGTTCACTTGGAACAAACTGACACCATGCTGTTCAAGACATAAAACCACCCTCGCGTCTAATGAATTTAAATCCAGCCAATTCAAGCCAGTCATTCTTCTTCCCTGGCTGACACGTTTCCCTTATGAAATTGTAGAACGATCTCTTATCATTTAATTACACGTTGTTTCACGAGTGGAAAAGACACTTTGTGCAAACAACGGACCACGTTTTCAGAGATACACAAGGTGTCACATTTTTTCCGACCAAACTTTGTCAGTATATTCTGTGGGTATAAGAAAGAAAGAAATGTTAAAAAAATGTTAAAATGATATAACGAAAATACGAAATATGTATGTTAGGACAGCAAGGGGACGATTTTATGATACGTGATTTCTCGTTCAGCAAACTGTTATTTTTAATTTAGCAGATATTAAAGAATAGGCTATTGTTCAGTCAGTAAGGCAAGGTATCATAAAGTCACCCCCAAAGGGTCTTCGAAACCGATGCAATTACCGAGGCCTCTCGGTACCTGACCTTCCGAACGAGTCGGAGAGTCAGAGTTGACCTGGCCGGGTTTTCCCCCTTGTTGTCAAATTTCCATCCAGCAAGGACCAGCTTCGTCACCCCCGCTCCAAGGACGTGACGCGCTCCGGGCGCAATGGAAGGGGGTGATACGGGGTTGGTCACTTAGTAATTTTAAGAACCTCCCTTCGCGCCCCTTCTTCAAATTTTAGAAGATTTGGAGAAGGGACGACTCGATAAGAAGGTCGACTTAGCTTAAGAACACAGAGTGTTGGTACACAGACCATCAGTTACATTAGGAATATTAAAGATTCAGTCAGACGCGGAAATTTCAAAGTACGCGGAAATTAGTACCCGAGTGCTTAACAGTATGTATGTACACGCGGTACTTTTTATGCGCGATCTCATTTTACGGGGTTAGATAAGTTATTGACAAATTCATCTAAAAATATAAACAATAATAATGCAAATGAAGTAAAACTTGCAAATATTTTAAGCGATGAAGATAGTGACTTTGAGCCAATGAAGGTCGATTGCTTTAAATTACAGTACAGATTCTGACACCGAATAAAACTTATTTTGGTTTTCTGAAATATCATTATTTTTTTTATTAACCTATGCGATTTAAATGTTTTTATGACTTATACCTGTTTTTCTTACCATGTTTTTTTTTTCCATACAAGCAGACTCTATTTACGCGATTTTTATCCGCGTAAAAAAAATCAAGAATGGCACTTGCAAAAGTTACGTTGAACACCATAATTTTGTATCATAACAACCGCACATCCGTTACCGTTCCCTTCGTATTTTGTATTACTGTTATAACTTTTTAATCAAGCTTCAAATGACCTATATTTACGTGTATGACCCGTCGCTAAGGCGAAGCCCTGCGCGCAATCGACAGGTGATACGATCAACGCCGCCTAACACGGCGGAGGCGCTTAGCGGCCCGCGCCCTGATTTTCAATTGTTCTAGAGACAGTTCAGTTTTTTCAGCGCGCTTTGATCCAATGTAATTTTATCAAGAATATGTATGTACATATACACTACCGGCCAAAAGTTTGGAATCACTACGTAAATTAAGAGAAACAGGATATTTCTAAGAAAAATTGAACGCCTACAAAGTATATATATTTTACATTTTATATTATTTTTTGTACGAAGAAATAGATATTTTACTTTAAATTGTCTTTTCATCAAAAAAACCGCCCTTACTTCTAATGACAGCCTGACATATTCTGGGCATCCTGGCAATTAGTTTTTCGAGTATTTCTAACTTAAAATTTTTTCATGCTTCTTGTAGTAGTTGCCAAAGGTGTCTTTTCGATGTTGGACAGTGCAACTGGATATTCCGATCGAGCTCTTCCCACAAAAATTCTATCGGGTTCAAATCCGGTGATTGTGCTGGCCATGTCATATTCCTCAAGACCCGCTCTGTTTCTTTTTGCAATAAGAACCCTTTACACAATTTAGAAGAGTGCTTAGGGTCGTTATCTTGCTGCATAATAGAATTTCTACCTATTAAACTGAGTGTATGAATTATATAATAGTATTATGGACATAGGAAAATGCTGAAATCTCTTGTTAACATCTGATATATTAACGATGGATCATTTCAAAATTTAGCGGTATATTCGATTTTGATAGAAATCAGCAAGTGATTCCAAACTTTTGACCGGTAGTGTATGTATGATAACTTTAGTATATCTTTGTGTTTATATTCCAACGATATCCAGCACTACAAAATAACATTATGCAACATTTTTTTCTTACTTATGCCCGTAGAACATGCTGACAAAGTTTTATCGGAAAAAATTGACGCACCCTGTATATAATAGAGAGTAGAGTGAGTTTGTTACGATGGTGATAAATCATAGTAAGTTCAATTGGTCGCGATAACGAGGTAACAGCTCGAGCTTCGCGGTAAATCAAACGTTGAGCATTGCTCCATGAATTTGGTCGTTGAATCGTTAATTGGGTCGATGGAATTGAAAAGATGCTCGTGAAACATTTTTTTTTCTTTTTCTTTAAGCATATTAGAGATAAACAGGAATGGTTTTAAAAGTGAAAAGTGAAGCGTGAATTAGAAAAAATTAGAAATGATCAATTGAAAAATAGAAATTATTGTTAAATGTTAAAAAAAATAGTAAAATGCAAGTATAATGCAGAAAGTATTCAGATATCTGTCTAAAGTTTCGTCAAATTATTCCTGTAACGCTGATGCAAATTTGATAAAAATCTGATAGAATTCGTCAGAATGTTAATAGTTAAATTATGGCATTCTTTAGGATCTCGAGGATTAGAAGCACCGTACGCAGTGATGGTGTACGTACACGGTGAAAGTTTCGAGTGGGGAACCGGAAACGTCTACGATGGCTCTGTTTTAGCTAGTGCTGGCCACGTCATAGTAATCACGCTTAACTATCGGCTTGGAATCTTAGGTATGTATTACTATTTCTAATTTTATTTATTTTATTATTTCTAATTCTCAATTTTTATTTAGAAACACTACAACTTCTAATTTTTATTTCAAATAAACCAGAACCATTTACTGAACAGCATATCATTCTTTATTCATAAAAACATTATAATTTCTAACTTCTGTTTAAAAAAGAAAATTTTTATTCTCTGTTTTTATTGAAAAATGCTACAACTTCTAAATTTGATTTCAAATAAACCAGAACCATTTACTGAGCAGTATTTCATTGTTTATTCATGAAAACATTATAATTTCCAACTTCTGTTTAAAAAAGAAAATTCTAATTCTCTGTTTTTATTGAGAAATACTACAACTTCTAATTTTTATTTCAAATAAACTAGAACCATTTACAGCAGTATTTCATTCAAGCATGCAAAAGGATAAATACATTTACACTTGAACTACCTTCTTTAATTAATCACGAATGAAATCTGAACAAGGTACATCCATTCACGTTATCATGCTGTTCTTCTCTTTTTAAGAGAAGAAACAGAAGATTGTACGTTCTCATGAATAATGCTGGACGAGTAAGAAAACACAAATAAAATATAAACGACGAATAAATAATTCATCCTACGCGAATAAATTCTTATTCCCCCAAAAGCTTGCTCATTATTCATCTGCTACGTATAACCCAGAGAGAGAAAGAGAGAAAGACAGCGACATAACGTCGGTATTATTTAACATTATAATTGCGCGCGTCCAACGGACGCATAAATCCATCCAATCGAGGATTAATATTTCACAGTTCCTTTAGTGTATTCAATTACCGTGCATCTGTGACTGAGTGGAACGTACCACGCGGTTTCCGGTTTCCTGTAATCGAACGCCACCCGAATATCCAATCGCTTCAATTTGATCGCGAAATCAGCCTCGATAAAAAAAAAATAGATCTCATTTCCGATATGAATCGTATCTTAAACACATTCCTACGTATCTTATCAATTTCTGCAAAAAGGGAAGAATAGAAGGTAGAAAATTGCCGAGCAATTTGAGATGGGAATAGAAGAAAAAGTATTCGGTGAAATAAAATTGTAAGTAAGTGCAAATGCATTTGTTTTTATTACTTTTCTTTAAATTTTGAATAAAATGGTAGTGAATGATTTTAATGTATTGGCAATGAACAGTGGAAAATATTTTATGTGTGTAAAATAAGAATTAGTACACAATTTTAATGACACTTTATAAAAGAAATATACCTAACCTTTCTGTCAATTTCACGGGAAGAAAGTAAAAATAAATTATAAAATCAAGATGAATGTCTAAGTATATTCGTATTTCAATTAGCCTTAAACTTATCATTAAAAAAGCTATTTTTACAACGTAGTGATATATTAGAAAATAAATATGTCTTTCTGAAATGACAATGTAAAGCACAGTCCCAAATATTATCGTGGCTCTATTCGTCAAAGTTGTCAATTTGATGCAAAGGAAATAAGAATAAATTGTAAAGTATTAAACTTCTGGAAGGAATGAAAGAATGTCGATCTTTTTATGCATATTAATTATTGATGGTGTGGTCAGTTCTTGTTCAACACTGTCACGCACGCTTCGAGTATTTTCCACCGAGCATCCGGCTCGAGGACGACCATAATATGATCTAACTACCACAGTACCAAACTCCCGGAAATTCTCGCTCAAATGTTTAACTATTCTGCGATCAAGCATGCGATTTCGGTCGAGTTTTCTTCGTAATTTTCTTATACACAACATTAACGAACACTGATGTGCAATATAAGTTTCTACGATAAACGCTCTTTCTTGAATTATGTAACGCTCCTATAAATCTCCTATGTGTCTACTCCACAACTGTCGAATACCATGTTTGCATGATACATACCAAATTGGCAGCCAATTAACCCTTTGCGGTCCTATGTCGAATCAGACTCGACATAAGAATCTTTACCTTCAGATATCATATAATGATAAATTGTAAATTATAAATGACAATAAACTATTTTTTATGCATTAATATTATACTGAAACTTAGCATTTTATAACTAATGTTACGGTGAAATATTGAAGTAAAGGGAAACTACATGGTACTGGCCGAGAGTGACCAAATGAGTGCAGAGTAACTGGACCATTTAGACCGCAAATGGTTAAAGTATGGGACTAATTTTTGATACATCCTATATTGGTGTCACAGAAAAAAAGCTATTTTGACAAACTAGTGATGTGAAATGTATAAAATGTTCCTGAAACGACAATGTAAAGCGCAGTCCTTGCGAATACTTTGAATACTATTACAGTTCTGTCCCGTTAAAGTTGAATTTGGAGAGCTCGTCTGTGGCGAGGCTCGTCATTTCAACACGAGAGGATAAGCAAAGACATGTGAAGGTAGATTAGTGAAGTCAGAAATGTTTGGCGGTGTTCCAGGTTTCCTGAGGACTCGTCCGTATCCGGACAGAATACCAGCCTCTGGCGGGAATCTGGCTTTGAAGGATATCGCCATGGGACTGCGCTGGGTGCGTGAGAATATCGCTGCTTTTGGAGGCGATCCGACGAAAATCACGCTGATTGGACACGATACGGGCGCTGCGCTGGTGAATCTTCTGCTGCTTGCTCCTTATGGCAAGGGTAAGTGGCTGTAATGTTACTTTCGGAGAAATTATTCAGCGTGGAAGTCATACATAACTTTACCGGGTGCGACATAAATCAGTCGCTACGGTATTTCAGCTGATTCTGATACTTCAACAAATAAATGTTTCAAACGAAAATTCATTGGTATTAAGTGAAAAGTTTATTGGTGTGAAAGAAGTTTTTGAAAGTATCTTTTTTCCATAAAAAATTGATGTCAATTTATGTTTCTTAAGTAGCACTATGTATTTTTCTTTTCACATGCGTAAGCTGCATGAAAAAACTAATTCAGTAAATATCGTAAATACTGTTTCATATTTAAATACTGTCTCTGAAGATAGACGGATTGGTACATATGGTCCTATTCGCAGGACATACTTAACCCGTTAACGCTCACATTTTTCTCAACTTGATATGCCAAAAATGATTAATTTTATTTTTTTTTAATTATTTTATAAGCGCGTAGAACTAAGTTTCCCATTTATTTACAATGCTGTGACTTAAATTTTTGCAATAGAATAGAAAGGATAGCGCAATATGGAGAGTGAAAGAAAATAGTTAAACAAAATTGCACTTTTTGGAGGATTAGTTGTGCACGTGTAAGACACGGGCATGAGCGTTAAACACTTTAGCTTTTTTATCTCTGGGGGTATGTGCAGTCAATAATTGTATCGATAATCTCAAAGAACGTATAATACAAGCTTGTAGAAATGTATAGAGTCATACTTTAATTGAAGCTGCACATCGGAATTGATTGGAAAAGGCAGAACTTTATGTTGCGGAAGGAGGAATGCAGTTTACATCTAAGTAATACAAATTACACAACATTTAGTTTTCAGTTATTTGTATTATCTTGTGCGTGTTTTTATTAACATTTGTATATGAGTTCGGTGCGTCGACGTTATGTATCAATGATCGATCAACTCGAGGATTGTACTTCACAAAGTTACACATCCCCGTTATTTTCAATTCAGAAGGCATAATCCTCGCTGCATTTATGCCTAAAGGAAGAACAATTAACGCTTTTGCTTATTGTTAAACGTTAAAACGTCTGCGAACAGCCGTAAAACAGCAAATGTCCTGAAAAACTTAGTTGAAAGATGGTTCTCCTCTGCAAAAATGCTCGACCACATTCTACGACTGTAAGACAAATGCTATTGCGTAAATTTCCATGGAAGCAATGAGAACATCCGTTTTATAGTCCGTATCTCTCACCATATGATTTCCATGTGTTTGACCAAGTAAAAATACGGATAACGAAATGAAGGAAATCACTTTAAAATGGTTACGAGAAATCGGACAAAAAATTTTTGAGAACAGAATTCGAAAATTGGTTCTCCGCTGCGACAAGAGTTTACAGATACTCGGCGACTATGTCGAGGTGTAGTAGCTTGCTGATAGTTTACATTGGTAATAAAAGAGATTTTTTTCATATGTACGTTCGTATTTTTTTAGAAGGAAGCTCCAACTTGTTTATTGACTCACTCTCGTACTTCGCAAATATTTCTCACTCACAAAACAAGTGAAACAACTCTAAAAGGAAAAAACAACGATTCCTTCATTCAATCAAATTGACTTTCTCACTTACAAAACTGATTCATCTTCGTACTCCATATTTTAAAGCAAGGAGAACATTCATCAAACGGCCTGGAATCGCAACAGCCATAAAACTTGTTTCAAAAACTGCACTTACGAACGGTGGTTGTCGAAGACAAATTGCGAGGGTTCGGGGGCAGCTTCGATGACGAAGGACCGTACAATAATAAGCGTCACGAATGAAAATCGATTTGGAATAGAGCAGAAATATCGCTGTCAGCCGCGATTAGAGGGAATCCCGGCTGGCCCGACACTCGATAGATTAATCGGCGAGAGATTAGCCCGGCGAAACCGTCCAATCGAGATAGTGAAACATCTCGCGAGGGTGAAAAAAAAGAGGGGAAGGGAGCTAGAGAGGGAAAAAAATCGTGCGTATTGATCTCGACTGGATGGTGACAAATTGCGTGGCTTCGTTTTATTCCTGGAGAACCGAAAATGTATTTTTTATTGTGCCAGGCCACTACGCTAGGATAGATTGGACGTTACAGTTTTCGACCATTGCAAAGGTTCAAAATTTGTAGTTGGGATTGTAAAACGAGAGCTTTTGTGTTCATGGACTTTGTTTCATTGTAGGTAGTTAAATAGACAGAATACGTTTCAATGAGAGGTAGTAGAGAGCTTTAAGAATTGAAACTACAGAGAATCTAACAAATTAAAAATTGAAGAATTTGGAAATTTGAAAGCTTAGGAATTTGAGAATTTGAAGATTTGGAAATTTGTGAGTTTGAAAATTCGAATATATTAGATGTAGCTTTATTTTGAGTTCAAATCTGCTTCCTGCCGCGTTCCTGAGTGGAGAAAAGGAGAAAATCGTGAGTTAACCTTGGTGAATCAGTGGTATCCACCGCAAAAGCCAATTTTCACGGAAAAACGGTGTTGTTTCGTAGGACATTAAAGGGGTGCTATACCACGAGCTGCTTAAACCCGGTGAAACTGTCAATTCTGACTGATATCAAGAACAACTAACGTGTCTGAGTGAGGAAATCGAACGAAAGAGACCGTTTACTGGCAGTGGAACTAGGCAGGTGATACTGCTGACCAATTTGCACAATTTGGCAAAAATGAAAAATGGGCCATATGACCAGGGAAATTGCGCGTAAATATGCGCTAATGATGCAAATGGGTTAACTTCGATTAACATTTGTTCCGGTCACTGCAACATCATTTGACTCATTTCAAAGCAGCTGAAGAGGTTGAAAAAACTATTATTGAGTTTCTTGACTCAAGACCACCATCTTTTTTTAAAGAGGGAATTCGAAAATTGTCCGATAGATGGGATAAATGTATAAAAAGTGGTGGCGATTATTTCCCAGAACAAAATGTGCTTTGGTTTCTTTATACATCAATAAGAAATTCATGAAAAAAGGCTACGAATTTATTTGTACGCCTGATAGATACAATTCTATCGGGTTCAAATCCGGTGATTGTGCTGGCCATGAAAATTTGAGAATTCCAAATTTAAAAAATTTGAAAATTTAAAAATATGAAGACTGAGAATTCGAAAATTGAAAATTTAAAGATACGAAAATTTGAGATTTTTAAATGTGAGGAATTTGAAAGATATGAAATTTTGAGAATTCGAAAATATGAAAATTTAAGAATATAAAAATTTGAGAATTCAAAAATCTAAAAATCCGAGAATTTAAAAAACTAGAAAATTCCCGCCACTTGTACACAACATTGAACCCAAAACAGTCGACAGATGGGGCAAAAACAACTACAATGCGTGCTCGTTAAAAGAACCCTAGTAAATGTACAACAGCTTTAAACACCGGCTAAAGTGACAATATGGAATGTTACAACGACAGAAACACTCGTCCGCTTTCAACAAAAATATACACATACCGACGTGGGCCAGAGGGCAGCGTAAATATTCGCGGTGTGTAATATTATTACACGAGCCGGTGCAACGTGTAGAAACATTAATTATGCTTTGAGGCAGCGCCGACCCATGAAATAATGCAAAATTAGTTGGTATAAGCAACGAATAATTATGGTAAGCTGCACGTGTGCTCAGGTTATTTGCTGCCGCTCGAGGTATCTTTGATATCTCTTGGCTCTCGAGAGCAAAGACTCGCCGCTCTCTCAAAGTCTTCATTAATATTAAAACACAGTGAAGATCGATTTTATCGCTTCCCCTTTCTATTATTCCACCTCGCCTCTTCTTTATACTTTATCCGACGGAAATTTAATTTCCTTCTGTCATTTTTATCTTTACAATCATGTAAAACCAATCTTACGTTAGAAAATAAACAAAAATAAGAAAATTAATTATTAAAAGCATATCCGGATGACATTTCATTTCTCTCTGTCAGTTTTATCTTTACAATCATGTAAAACCTGTGGTTGTATAACACTTGATAATAAGTTAAATAGGAATATATTTTATAACAGTAACTATAAACACACGTAAAAGAAATAATGATAATTTGATCAACGCTCTCTAAATATATCTCGCAATAAATTCTCACGTACTCACTGATATCAATAACAACGCGCTTCTCCTGTTTTACCCCCAGTTACCCTGTATGATTCGCTCGTTTACCAAATCTCGAGACGATTCGACATACACACTACATTCACCCCATCACTCACAACTTATTATTAAACCAATTCTACAAAACCAATCTTACGTTAGAAAATAAACAAAAATAAGATAATGAATTACTAAAAACATATCCGGAGGAAATTTCATTTCCCTTCGTCGTTTCTATCTTTACAATCATCGAAAACCAAAAAATTCCAATGCGAAAGTAAGAAAATGAATGATTAAAAACATCGTGTACCAAAGAATACGGGAACCTCGGATCGCGAAATACGGCCAGAAACATGGTGAAATACGAGACTAAAATCCACTCTGTAGATAGTCGAGAGTGTGCACTCGAAGGCGCTTTTTGTTGCAAGTCGATATCTGAATCGGTTCCTGAGATACGAGCTACCAAAGTGGAGCATATCGAGAGCCACGAAATGTGAATGGAGGCCGAAATTCCGTGACCTAGTTTTTTTCCTGGAAATGCGTACGTCGCTAGTAGTAGTAGTAGTAGTAGTAGTAAAACAAACCGCTAACTCAACTGCTGTCACTGACCACAGCACGCGTGCCACGCTCGAGATAGGCGTGTGTGCGGGTGCGAGTGGGAGATTCGACAAAGACGGAGAAAGAGAAATGGCAAAAATAACGACTCGCTTTGAACGACGATATCTCCGGAACAGAAAGTCGTATCGACTTGAAAGAGAGAGCGTTTTAAAGTGTAGAACCTGCTGTTTCCAACCGAGTACAGAAATGTAAGATCATGTCGAGGAATTGTTTTTTATTCGTAGGAAAAGAGTAGGGTAGTTTTAATGCTTCTCGGTGGTTTTGAATTGTTGTTAGAGTTACTACAGGTAATTTTATTGTTGATAAATAG